CTGGGATGCGGAGTCGTCCATCTGCTGTCAAACCGACGGTCTGAAAGCTGAGATAAAAAAGCCAGGGTTAAAGGGGAGAGTTTAAGGGGAAAGTTTGAGGTGCCATGTCCAGGAAAAGCTTTGTTGTCACTGACCTGATGAAGGTAAACACCCCATGTGTGGCCATGCTGATGGGAGAGTACGTGTCTGGGTTACGTGGAAGTAAAAATGTGGAGAAGCATGGGTACATCATATCTGTGACCACCAATGCTGTGCTTTGTTACCTTGCCTATAAGATAGCTTCTTACTTTCTTGTCTATTTCTGAATTTTCTCCCAAACCCTTTGCTTGCAACCTTGTGCGTTAACCCCCATGTTTTTCACTGTCCCGTCATGCAAACTGCTTTTTCTGTCCCGGTGCATTTGCCTTATGGATTCTCCACACTGTTCTTCCCACTACTCACTGTATCCCAAGCCATCTGCCTCCAACTCTTCGGTTATCCAACATAAACCTCACATACTAAAAGCATTCCTACAGGCATTGTAGAGCCAGGTACTGGAGGAAATTTGGGAACTACTGCGTTGTACAAGGGCAAGGTATCACCCATCAGCAGGTCAGCATTAGTGTCTGTATGGAGGCTCTTACTGCCCAGCTCAGGCTGTGGCTTTTTGGTCATTCTTCCTATAAATGTGCTCTGATGAGCTCTTTCTTTATCCTAGCCTGCAAATGCTAATTTCTGTGCAGTCCGCAGACTCTGAGCCTCCCTTTATGAGGCTAGTTGAGAACATAAGGAGATGTAAGTTTGCAGGATTGTTTTGAGCAAGAAAGTCTTTGCTGTATATTTGTATAGGTTGGGTGTGTAATATTTATATTTTTCCTGCAAGTGCTTGTAAAAACACTACATTTGATTACACTGAGACTTACAGTTGTATCAGCAGGCAAACTGGGGCAAAAACCTGATCCCTGTTTTAAAGGTCCTACACTAAATAATATATTCAAAGTGATTTTAGTCTCTTTTTTTTTTTCTGTTGGAAAAGGAAGCTGGCGTCCCTGGCTTTGGAAGATGGTGGTGTTGCTTTATTGGAGTATAGGGAGAACTAATACACACTGTTCATCAGATCTTGAGCAAATCAGTCCTTGTGTCTCTTCTGCTGGTAAACTGTCGCTGTTTTTGTTTATGAGGTGCTTTGAGCTCTGATGATGGAAGTGCATTAAGTAAATCTTTCAAGTAAGATGAATGGGAGGATGTCAACAAGTTGCTAGAATTTGTGTTTCATATGAAGTGGTTCGGTGACTGGACTTAGAACTTTCACTTTACAAACTACTAATAACAGTAATTAGTGATGTCTTAAACTGGCATGCTCTTTTCCTACAGCTCTAAGCTTGTGTGTTCCGGTTCAGAGTTGCCCCCTCAAGGGCTTTAGTCTGTGTGTGCCCTAAGGCAACTGAAGTGATAGCTTTGTTTTGTTTTCCAGAGCTGTAAGAATGTGAACATAATGACTGGTGGTTTCAGTGTATATTGTCTTTTTCTACTGTTCCTTTTTCTGAACTGTCATTTCAGGAAAATGATCTCTGTAACTTTCATTTTGATTTGGATTTGATGTCGTGGGACTCAGATCTTTGGAATATTACAGGCCATGCTTATGCAGGTAATTTACCTTTTGTATTTTGCAGATGTGAGTATTCTCCCTCCCTTCTGTGTGTTGTCCCCCCCTCCCCAAGGGTGAGCTGTTAGAGCTTTAGGATAGTGATAACTTGTGTGAATCTGTTTTGATGTCGGGGAGCACTTAGCTTTGTGGTGAGACACCATGCTGTGTTTCTGTGGGATGGGTACAGCTGGCAAGGACTGCCCTTCAAGCTGAGCTGCTCATTAACTTTAATCTCACTATGTTTTCTGTTGTGCCTTGCTTCAGACACTAAATAGTAGGTGTAGAGCAGCATATTCTTTACTGATCTCCCATTGTTAAACACTCTGGTAAAATTACACTCCAGTAAAATTTCTTTATCTGCCTCTTGCAGATGCAAGTGTGAAGACAGAACCCTTATCACCAGCCACTTCAAATTGTTCGGTCCCTTCTCCGTCGTCTGTGGACTCTCCAGTACAGAACGTGCCTGTATGTAGAAACCTCCGTGTGTCACAGATAGCAGCAGTCACTCAGAACCAGCTGTGGCAAACAGAAAGATTTACTTGTCTGACCAACTTCATGGCATGAGAGGAAACAGCTTATTTTTCCAGCCCTTGCAAAAACAACTTCCCTTCAGTGATGTTTCCCTTCCTCTCCTGCTGTGACCCATTCTAAAAAAGAGCATGTTCAGTTCTGTTTCCTCAGTTGTGTGTGTTGGTCTGGTTGCCAAACAAAATCCCCCCCAAGGTCTAACAGTTGCTGACCTCTGCCCCCTTCACTCTGCTGCTGAGGACAAGTACTTCCTTGGTTTTCAGTGGTACTTAGGTTTTGTTCTGCAGTTTTATTCCAGTCAACGCTTTCTCCTGTGTGCTGAAGCAGCAACACAGATGTGATGAAAGGCAGTTAACTCTGAACTGCTAGCAGATGTTTTTATGTGTTTCTGAAGCACTGATCTGTACTTTCTGTCTGCAGGATGATGTGGACTTCAGCTGTAGCTCCCAGATGTCTCCCATCTCTCTCTACGGCAAGCGCTGCAAAAGCCCTCCGTCCCCCGAAGGAGATGGAGGGAAGAAGCCTGCTCTCAGCATCACTTCTCGGTCTGGTATGGAAGATTGAGCTTCTTTGATTCTGCAGATAGGACGGGTATTGTCTTGCACATGGCTGTTTAACTAATAGACACTAGTGTGTCCTGTCAGTTCTGACCTGAATTTGTGATCGGGTATGTCTGTTTTTACCAAATATTATAAATGAGCATAAAAAAAGCCCCAAACATACGAAAAGCCGTGTTGTTACTGCTTGAGTTCTTTATTTGATATCTTCTGGTCTAACTCTGACTCTTTTTTTTTTTTTTTTTTCTTTCCTAGGTAGTAATTGTGCGAGGACCCTGAAGAGATGTGGTCAGACAGCATCCAGGCCTTCGATACAACCCAAACCCCTTCTTCCTGCTGTACCTGAGGCTCCGGCTAACATTGGCATCCCAGCTAAAACCATCATTATCCAGACTCTTCCCACGCTTGTGCCACTGCCAAAGCATCAGCCGGTTGTTAACATCCAGCCAGCGCCACCTAAAGGTGGGTGAATTGTCTTGACTGAGCCAGGTCTTGGGGGTAAGCGCTGTGTTTGGGATGGTCACTAGAATGAAGTTAGCACTGGTGGGTGAAAAGGGAGGGGTAGGAAAAAAAATAAGGGGTCCTACACGCTTTGCTGAAAAAGCTTTAGGCTGAGAAAATGGCCTTATTTCTGTATTGCGTAGTCCTTGGAGAAACAACAGTCACCTGGGCACTGTGTGGAACGGAATACAGTATAGCAAAAAAAACCGTGCTGAGCACTGACAGTTGTGCAGGTAAAACTGCTGATTTGGAAGGATCTCTAGGGACCCTTTGCTCTCTGTGTGATGGGAAGTGGTGTCTAGGGTGATTACAGTGCTATTCCGTCGTAACCACAGGACGATCCAGCAGAATCAGTTAGCATAGAATCGTAGAATGGTTTGGGTTGGAAGGGACCTTAAAGATCATCAAGTTCCACCCCCCCTGCCATGGGCAGGGACACCTTCCACTAGACCAGGTTGTTCCAAGCCTCATCCAGCCTGGCCTTGGACACTTCCAGGGATGGGGCATCCACAGCTTCTCTGGGCAACCTTCAGCATGGCTTGAAGGAAACTTGAAAGCTTGGGAGGAGGGACATAAGTGTTTGGTTTTTTTACCCACATGAAACTTTGCCATAGGATGATGGGACCATGAGTTTATGGCTTTTTATCTCACTAAACAGCATTAAATAGGATGTTGTGAAATCGGCTGAGTTAAGAGAGCCATGTCAGGGGTTGCTTACACCGGCAAGCTGATGTTAACAAGAGGCAAGTGGTTTCCTGTCCACTGATAATTCTTCATTCCTCCTGTTGCCCCGTAACAGATTATTTGAAGTAGCTTGAGCCTTCATTTCTGAATCCCATGCATTACTACACTCTTCGGCCAAGGCAGTGGGGTCATTGCATTGGTGAAACTGTCAGATGCAGTTGCTTGTTCTCACCAGCTGATGGCTGCAGTCTCTTGCGGTTGACTATACCGGCACAGAGGCATGGAAGGAAAAGGAGACAAATACTTGAGGGCATGCATCTAGAAATTATTGCAGTAGAGAAGAATTTGTCTTCATTACTAACGGCTCCTCCATCAGGAGCTAAGCCAGAGCTGGAGACGCTGACATTTGTTACAGCATGCCTAAGATTATTGGACTGCTTAAAACACGTCGGCACAGTCAGTGTGACCTAATTCTTATTCCTTCTGATGTTCCAGCTGATAAAATACCATCTGGAATAAGGAATGTTGGGGATATGGATTTTTTGGATAAAAGTATAGTATTGTGAAGGTCAGCTTTTCCTTTTCCCTGAAGAAAAGTCAGGAGAGTTTGGGTTGGTTTTTTTTTTTCTGTGAGGCACTGTAGAGGAAATACTTTTTGGGAAAATATTTCCATGCCATGTATTTACTTTTAACTGATGGTGTGTTTAAAAATGCTGTAGTGCTGCTTCCATAACAAAAACCCTAAGGCTCTTTTAATTAGTCAAAATCCCCTGCATGTGACAGGTTGGAGCTACCAGTTTGAAATGTGCCGTTTTCCTTCAAAGGAGCACGATATTTTTACATCCCTGTCATAAAAGCTTGAAGAAGGCAGCATGTTCTTGGAGCATCATGTGCTTTATGTATTAAAAAAATGGTTGAAATAATCTCAAATTCACCATCTGAGGTTCTTAAATAGGGTAATACAAACTTGTGATGTCTTCAAGATTATCTGTGCAAAAAGATGATCTAATCCTACACCTCATACATAAGGGATCTTGGCGCTAGGTAGGTGACTTCATTTTTCACCTTCCAGAAGGTTCAGTAAATGCAGTAATAATACCGCCGTGCGTTTTGGTTGGAATGCTCCACTGGAACGTGTTCTTTCTGAAAGCTGGCGAGGTCATCCTGTTACAAGGGATTAAAGAGATGTTCGTTGCTTTCGGACAAAAAAATATTACTCGAGCACCTGCTTGAGTTAAATGTAGTTGTTGGACTGAAATTTCTTGGAAGTGACTGTATATAATTCCGTTTCAAACTCGTGTCAAAATTACCTCATTTTTTCTGCTTGCATTTCTTTAAGGTCTGTTCAGCTTGTGCATAGAATTTCTTACATAAGACATTTTTAAAAAAAATTAGTCTTGCCTTACTGTGAGTTGAGGCTTTAGCTTACATTTTGAAAGTGTAACTTGCATTGTTGTTTTGTGTTTATCTTCTTTCTCTATGCTGTTTCTGAATTAGTTTACATAGTATGAATCACTTCTGTGTAGTTAAGTTTTCCATTGAATACTGCACTGAAGCAGGGATGGACAAAAAGGGGAAGGAGGATTGAGGTAACTTCTCTTGAAAAGTTGCTCAAAGTGCATCAAGTGTTAGCAATACTGAAAAGAGTAATGTTTCTAACCAGTGTTGCATTTTATTAACTTTGAGGAGTCATTGGGTTTTGGGAGAGAGCTTGATTTAGTGAGTCACTTTAATACGTGTAGTTTTGGTTTGCCGAATGGATAACTTTTGGCCTCATTTTTATTTTCATCATTCCTATGCTGTGGAATACATTAACGGTGCAGAATTGAACTGGAGATAAATCATGCAGGCCAGGAGAGGAAGGAAGAGGCTTTGTACCTCCTGTGTCAGTATTCCCCAACAGACTGGTCATGTACAAATCCGTTTCATGTCACTGAGCACCCCTGCTTGTTCTTGTGTTCCAGCTCAATCAGTGGTGCTCCCCCAGCCCGCTGTGGTACAGCTCCAGGCTTCTGGGGTGCTTCCTGCCTCCCAGCCAGTCATTGCCGTCACCGGAGGGACCACGCAGCTTCACAACCATGCAGTGAATGCCTTGCCTCCAGCTGCTGGGAACGGCTCAACGAGCGTCAGAATACCAGTGACGAAGCCCTTGCTCCAGAGCACCGCGCCAGCAGTGGGGCTGGATGTGAGTTCTGACGGGGTGGTGATAACGAGTGACTAAACCTGGAAACCGTTACTTGCATATGGGATATAGTGGGAGAACCAGGTCACTTTAGAGTCTCAGGAAGACAGAGCTGTAGTTGGGCTCGTCTAACAGGATTTCAAACAGTAAACAGGGAATTCAGCGGCTTGGCAAAGAATGGGGAGGAAGAGCTTGATCCCTGCTGGCAGTTGCAGACCAGGTGTGCAGGCATTGTGGCAGAAGTCAGTGCTGATGTATTTTTTTTCCTTCACTTGTCTTCTCAATTGCAAGCTCTCGATGGCTGGAGCTGTCTTACATACAGGAAGATTTGATATATCTGATTTTTGTGCTAAACCATTTTTTCTAATCCATGTAATAAAAACATTCCTTTGGAAGCAGATGAATTGGAGGTGTTAGCAGTAGGCCTGATTCTTTCTCCATCCCCTTTATCACCCTGGATTTACTCATGATTTTTAGAAACTCCAGGTGTTGTTTCATATGACCCCAATCTCTTCAGGCTCCCTTTTGGTCATACAATGAATGAGTAGAAAAGGGGTAAGCACTCAACAGTCACTGCACAAATAGGTAAGTTTTTCCACAGTAGCTCGCAGCAAACAGTAGGTGTAAACACATATAGCTTTTGAGGTGTATAGGGTTTTTATCCCCTTTCAGCTCTGACATTTTAACTAGCTGTCAAGACGGGCGTTAGCTTGATTTAGTTCCCAGTAGTTTGGGGCTGCTTTGGTTGGATTTTGTTGTCCAAAGGAAGGCATGGTTGCAGAAAGTACTGAAGCTTCTTGACTGTGGCTTTTTAACTGCAGAATGACACCCTGAGAGTTTAGACCCAGTCACCAAGCACAGCTGTGAGCTGAGAGTCCTATTGCATCTCTCGTTGTGAGGGAGAAAACCCTGGTGTCCAGTCACAGGAAGTTTTGCAATATAGTTATGTCCTTATTCATAGAATCATAGAATGGTTTGGGTTGGAAGGGACCTTAAAGATCATCCAGTCCCCCTCCTCCTGCCATGGGCAGGGACACCTTCCACTAGACCAGGTTGCTCCAAGCCTCATCCAGCCTGGCCTTGGACACGTCCAGGGATGGGGCATCCACAGCTTCTCTGGGCAACCTGTCCCACTGCCTCACCACCCTCACCAGGAAGAATTTCTTCCTGATACCCAATGTAAACTTCCCCACTTTCAATTTAAACCCGTTACCCCTTGTCCTGTCACTACAGACCCTTGTAAAAAGTCCCCCCCAGCTTCCTTGTAGCCCCCCCAGGCCCTGGAAGGTGCTATAAGGTCTCCCCAGAGCCTTCTCTTCTCCAGGCTGAACACCCCAACTCTCCCAGCCTGTCCTCATGGCAGAGGGGCTCCAGCCCTCGGAGCATCTCCATGGCCTCCTCTGGACTCGCTCCAGCAAGTGTTCGCAGTGCAGGACACTGTTTCTCAAAGGCATGTGCCCTCTGGCTTCTCTGGAGGGATGTTGTATGGTTTCGTTGTGTCTGAGAATCGCCACTCATGCTTGATGTTAAATTTTCCTCACTATTCATATTTGGGGGGGGGCTACATTTTAAAATGAAAACTTTATTGCTACAAATAGTTCAGCTGCCAGGCCGTGATGGAAACCTTGAGTTTGCAAGAAGCTCACAGAAGTCTGTCGTTAGACAGAGCCGTTACGTGCTGCTGTGCAAAGCCAAACCGAAGAGACCTGCCAGCAGTCCTTTAGATTTGACTCCCTGTAATCAGGACTAGCACTGGGCCTTGCCATTGTCTGAATATAGGGTTTAGTTGACAAAACCTCCTTTATTGTCATCACTCTTCACATCTGTGACAGTCAGTAGTCAAATGTGTAGCTGGGGTAACGAATAGCCGTTCGTTTTGAACGATGGTTGTGTGGGTATTTCCGCCTGAAGCTGGTTTAGGGAGGCAGTTTTAAGACTTGTTATCAGCCTAAATGCTGCACATCATACTTGTGTTCACTGAAACATGTAAAACCACTTGCAGCTGCCCTTTGGCCCATAGTGTGAAATAGCACTTTGGAGAAGAGCAGCTGTTTCAGGATACAGCTGGCAGCAGCAGGGTTAACACCTCCGGTGACTGCTGTAGACTATGTGGGCTCGGAGCTGCACAGATGTAGCTGTCATTTGAGCTCTGCAGCACGTGGTTTTGTTTGCTAATCTAAGCAGATGTTGCAGGATAAAAAGAAACACTGCAGGACTCTCTTTTGGGTTTAGGAGGGATAAACTGCTAGCTTAACACACAGCCCTTCTGCTGGGTCAGGCTGAGGTGGGCTTGATAGCAAGCTGTGGGCACGAGGCCCTGCGTTGTGCTTGTCCTGGTGACACACGTGTACGCAGCTCGCGGGGAAGTGCTGGGTTTTCAGTGCCGTCAGCCTTCGCTAGGAAACCGCTGAAGAACTTTCCACTAGGAAGTTGGACAGAAGAAACGCTGCCTAAGCAAGCCACGCTTCCGGTTGAAGCAAAGAGGCTCTTCATTAAAAAAGCAGATTGCCTTTCCTGTTGCAGTTAAACAATATGAGAGCATAAACAGTAAGGGTGTCTGAGGGAATCTAGTTTTGTTGTGTCCTTGTAGGGCCTTTCTGTCATGTTTCCCCTCTAGTGGTTTCATTCTGCGTCTCAGTTCTGTTGATTAAAAAAATATTGAAAATGTAGAACAAATTAGATTATGCAAAATTACTTCAACATAAGTGTGGATTTCTATTAAGGCATCCTGTTTTCTCTGCTGTACACTGGGTAATTTCCACATGAAATAAGCTCGTTAGTCACGCTGTGTTCTGTTGCGGTAGAGACGAGAAAACCCAGGTCTTTCCTAAGAGCAGAGCAAACACTGGCATAGGTTTCGTATCCCTGGTTTAAGATGCTTTTTGGAGACAGCAGCTTCCATAGGCTGAGGAAGGAAGCCAGCCAAGGTAAAGTTGAAATGGTTTGTCCTTTCAGCTCTGTGTTAACTTTCCCAGCGTGTGTACCAAAATCTCTGTGGAGCGTGAGAGATGTTCCTATGTCTCCAGAAATAGAACGTGTGTTGGAGTGGGGATTAAATTTTCCTCAGAACTCGGTTTTCTTGGGAAGACTAAATTGTGGTAGCAATGTTTATATGTAAAGAGCATGACTGTAGAGACCCTGAAGATGGGGGGGCCATCTGCATCTGGGTAGTGCTGTTCGAAGCAAGGTTTTGCAGTGAACCTTTTGCTTCTCCATGTCCTCATCTATTTGTGTGTGCGCGTTGGTGGTGGTGTAGTTTTTAAAGCTTGGAAGTGTGAGTTGCATCACTGATTACTGTTTGATTTTAATGCTAGTGTTTTCCCTTTATGGTTTGTTTTTCCTGAGAACCAGAAGTTACTGTCTTGAGTGGTAAATTAATACAATGGAAAGAGGGAAGCTGCAAGAGAAGTGTTTGCTCCATTTAATCTCTGTTCAGCACTTGTGTAAAGCGATGTTGCTCAAGCAGTCTGACATTGTAAATTAGTTCCTCTCTCCTCTGATTATCGGAACACTCAAGCAAGGGGCATGTTTATCATCATGCAGAGCCAGCTCTGCAGTGCTTAGTGCCATGCTGCTTCCAGGTTGAAGCATTGTTGCACTGTTTCATACACACTTCTCTCCATTTCCTGCATCAGATTTGGGCAGGATCGGGGTGCAATTGTGGCTTATTCCCCAAGAAAAGCCAGAGAAGCACTAGAGGTGTGGCCAAGGACCTTAAACTGTTGTAGGCACTGCCAGTTAAAACAGAGTGACTCTAGGACAGTTGGGTTTCATTTAAGCAAGTGTAAGAAATGAGTGGAAGTGAAGCTGGTGTGGCAGACTGAAATGCAGGGACTGAACCTTGAATCAGATGGGGAGAGCTACTGTTTGTGGCAGCATTTGGAGAACACTGAGTAAAGGAGGGCAGTCTAGAGAAATACCATCTGGAACACAGCTGGTGGCATCTGAAACAGCAACAGATGTACCTCAGAGCGTTCTAGTGTACAAACACTGCACTGGTGCTTTAATTCCATGTTTTCTCCAGGTAGGTGGATTTGCCAGTGGTTCCAGCCACGTAGTCAAAAGCTATCCAGTAGTGAATAATCCTGACCAGGTCTGCAAACAAGAATGGATGTGAACAATTTGGTCGTCTCTGTTGGACTTCCTGATGCAAAACCTCTTTTTAAAAAGAGGAATGTAACTACTTGTTTGGAATATCGCACAATTCAAGCCAAAGCTCCTGCATGAACTCATTCCTTATTATTTCATCTCTGGATAGTTGAAGTGATCCTGGCCCCACAATGGTGTGTCTTATACACTGCAGTCCTTGGCTGGCCTGAATCTTTTTTTTTTTTCCATAGCTTTTATATGTCTGCACAAGTTTTTCTTGTGTTAAGAATTGTAGTACTTAAATTGTTCAAGACAAAGCTCAGTGTTAATGAAAACATGTTAAAATCTTTTCTTCTCCACTCTGTGCTAAAGAGAGAAACTGGAGTACGTACAAACAGCTTCACTTCCACAGACTTGTTGGTGGCAGCAGACTAGACATATAATAAATGATCTTCACAGAAAGCAATTAGATCAACATGGAGACAGCCCAAAATGTTAATGCACTGTAACGTGTTTTCTTTGTCTTTGTCACCAGACTGCAGTGCCATGAAGAATGGCTTCTTCAAACAGCCTGTAGCCAGTTTTTCTTGCAGACACGAAAGCCGTAGAGGAGCATACTGTCTGTGTGTAGGTATATACCAGAAGAGAGTTGGAAAGCTATGTTTAAGATTCTTTAAGCAGCTAGACCTTAACCGGAGCACACTTCCTGAGTTTAATGTTCCCATTCTGTGACTTGTTTATTTTTTTCCTACACTGATACTTCTAGACTAGTTCCCATCTTTTTTTCTTAAGCTTCCATACTCTAAAAGGTGCAGGTTACTCAGGGAATGTGTTGGTAGCTACTGGAGGATATTCAAGTCTGTGTAAGATACAGCATTCAGTCTCTTTCAGTGTAAACATCATCAAGGCACATCCTGTTGCAGCTTAATAATGTGATGGAAGTCTTCTGTTTTTCATAAAAACAAAGCTGCTGGTGCTAATTTTTGAGGAAAAGCAAATCAACAGAGTAGTGTTTAAACTTAGAATTTCAAGTGTTTTTGTATAGTGCTGCAGTATCGATCATCGTTATCCTTGTCAGCAGCAAGATGCTTTCAGTCTGCATCGTCCCACTCAGTTCAAACCACAAAACAACTAAGTGGTAAAAGATGATAGAGTGTTCCTGCTGGGAGGGGGTGTGTGTGGAGGAATCGGAGTCACCAGGACTGTTGGAGGATGGGGAGGGGTTACTTTGAACTGTCCCGGTCTGGTGTTGGGACTGAATGTGTGCTAGTGGTTGGAGTCAATTGTCTGCCCTGATCTGAATTAAAATCCTAGTCTAGATGCACCCAGAGACTGCATTTAAACTGCCATGTAAGTGCTTGATACACACAGAATGTGCAACCTAAGGTCAGAAACAGTATGCAGAATATCAAGAACTACATACCAGAGCTGTAGTAGGTACAGAAACATGTGTAATCAGTTTAAAATCATTACCCCTTGTCCTGTCACTACAGGCCCTTGTAAAAAGTCCCCCCCCAGCTTTCTTGTAGCCCCCCCAGGCACTGGAAGGTGCTATAAGGTCTGCCTGGAGCCTTCTCTTCTCCAGGCTGAACACCCCCAACTCTCCCAGCCTGTCCCCATGGCAGAGGGGCTCCCGCCCTCGGAGCATATCCGGGGCCTCCTCTGGACTCGCTCCAACTATATCCTTCTGCTGTTGGGGGCCACCGCACAGGCA